AAGAAAAATGTGTATAAGCTTATATCTAACCAGGAACATACATACTAGTTTACATTGCACATTATTTCATGGAAGAAAATAACCGAGAATTTAAAACTATTCAAGATGAAATTTTAAAACAGAATTACACTTTAAATTTGTGAATCAAACATGAATAAAAACAAATCAGTACCTCGACATTTTTCTGGTCATATATAAGCATATAGTTTATAACGTTGATAAATTCACTATCATTTCCTTTTTTGGCAAAAAGCTTCAAGGCATAATGTCCTTCATCAGGAATATTGACCTCAACTGTGAGTTTATTTGGAGATATCGTGCATGTAGATATTTTTTCTGTATTAACTGAAGATTTCATACTCATTATATTTGTTTTAAACTCGTATTTTCCGTTGTAATCAAATCGGATTTTCACAGTTTCTTTGGGTGAAATGTAAATATGTCCATACCCATGAGATGCAGGTCTGACACCGTATCTCATGCAGTGAGGTGTTGGCCCCCAACCAATCTCAGGAGTATCTGGTAATGGGAACCGTTCATCGTGTAAGGAACATTTATTACAAGAAAACTTGAATTGACATAATAGAGACTCGGTATTATGACCTCCTTTCTCACTCAAAGTTCTTCCGTCAATGTCAAGGACATACGTTCCTGGAACTGGAAAATCCACGTCAAACACAACTCGCGAATTAGCACGACTCATAAATACATATTTCCTAAGATCTGATGGAGACTGTGAATTTGAGCTATCATTATGTTCAGTCTCTGTTTTATTCATAGGTTCTGTATTTCGGATTTCATCTTTCTCTTTAGAATTTCTTTGTGTCAGTTCTCCACCTGATCTAGTGGTTGTAATGCCTATGCTTCTCAGCGTGTCAGTTTCCACGTTTTCATTCTTTGCCTTTTTGCTAATTAATTTATAATTAAGAACAGTGTCCTGTGAATGTTTTTTGTCAATAAACACCTCCACACTTATTCTTCCCTGATCCACTTTCAATTTTCCAAGTGTAGGTTGAACGACTTTGACCCCCATTTCGAAACATTTTCGTCTACAGTTTGGCCTAGAGAGAAAATCATGCTTTGTGACTGGTGTATACAACAACTGCCATTCCTGTTCTTTGGGAAAACACCACTGTATTAAGTCATCGGGATCAATGAAAAAATATAAAGACTTCCACTAAAAAAATAAAAGAAACGTAAAATACCATGCTCAAAATATCAAAATAAGATTTCAAGCATATTTTAAGTTTTCTAAATGATTGTTCTTGTCTTTCTGAAACCTTAGAATTAGTAGAAATTCCAAACTCCAGCTGGACAAATCTCCATTCTTCTTTTACGAACACGGCGTTCCATTTTCCTTTGACTAGTTTTTTCTCTGCCCAGCCAATTTCAAAGTTGTCATCTTTCTTAAGTCCTTCGATGGTTACACATTTCAAATCAACACATCTAAAACAAAGATAAAAGGCTTCATCATTATTAGCTTTGAAGAGTGTAATCAAGTACATCTATTGCTTGATCCAGAATATACCAACGGAGTGTTCTATGTTAATGAATATTTGCACAAGTTGACGCACTTGCATAAATTCGTGAAAAAGTCAGCAATATGAGAATTTCTATTTGTAATGTCCCTAAGATCTCCTTTTGGTGTGTTCTTCGCTCCAGCTTTGGAAAACTCTTGGCTACTGAGGTCCAAGTTAATAACCAGGTAGATATGCTTTCTCCATGTCTATTTTTTAGTCCTTTGGTAAGACTTTCTGCGAGGGATTGATAGGATCCCAGTTCTTTTGTAGAAACCTACTTTTACAAACGTTTCTCGATTTATTGACAATGGAATTGTACATTCGGTTCTAGGAATAACATTAGTAAAATTCAGACAAATATTTGATACTTTATCTCAACTTCAAACTGTCCAAATATTTTCAATTCTTTCATTTATAAAAGCAATACATAATGCAATAACACTACGTATATTTATTTATTGAAGTACGACTACTTAACTAATTTACCTGTAGGTTCATTCATTGTCCTTCACCTCAGAATACTAACCTGTTGATGAGCATTTTTGGTTGCCTCCCGGAGCAAATCCTTGTTGAAAATATCTTTTCGTGTGGTCGTTGGGGGCAGGGGTTTTACCCCAGGTCTCTGTATTGTCTGAGGTTTAACCTGAATTGTTCTGTCAGTGTTTCCATCACTTTCTCTCTTTCGATATCTATCCTGAAACATATTCTTGCTATGAATTTGGCTGTAATCTATCGCGTTTTGCAATAATTCAGGCGGTTATTTTCATTAAAAATTTATAAGCTGTCTGTTTAGGTAATTGATTTATGCGACTGGAATGGTCAAGAATGTAGGAAACTAAAGCCATACCTGTTTTGGAGGAGATGATTTATCCTCGGATTTACTGCTATTTCCACCCATTAATTCTACATACAGAAGTTAAGTTTTCTGAATTATATCTACGATAGTGTAAAAAAAATAGGGGTTATATAATTTTACTAAAATTAATAATATAATTCTTAAAATTAAATATAAAACCGCTTAGAACATGCATTCAATTACAATATTGGAAAAAGATAAGTAAATGAATTAAATCAAAACTTTACCTCTTTCAACAATTCCAGGTTAACCTTTCGTATCCTCGTCCATTTTTGTATTTTCTAAAGAGTATTAGGCTTGACAACAAGAAGGACTACATAGGGTAACAAGTTCAATTAAAGAACAAACAAAATTTCAAATCCCTATATCAATTTGTGAATCGTACATATCTGCACAATACTTCAATACTGGAGAAACATAGGTATTTGATTGAAGCAAGCAAATAGGGTTTTGATCACAACATTAAAAAAAAATTCCTCTCGAGAACCCAATGTTCTTTATGTAAGTATGATTAATGGTCAAATCTTGTCTTTTTTGTTTCATTTTGAAAAGTGCAAGTTCTCGAATTCCATTTTGACAATAACGAGACAGCAGAGCATTCAACAGTTTGACAGATATTGCATTCAATTCAGAAGCAGGCATTGGAACTAACCGTGGTTTTTATATTCTTTTTATTTACTAAGCCCGTTATATCAAAGCAACCACAGTGTATGTGCCGAGAGAAACATAAGCACTTCCAATATATTTTCATATTTAAGTATAAGTAGACATATGAAGGTGAGAATTTCCAATTTAAGTTTGAATACTCCTAGGTGCTTTTACCGTTTTGTAATGCCTTTTTGTGTATTGCATTTCTTTACTTATGTACAGAGAATTTGTGAAATTATTGATGAACAATACAATCACCCTTTATATCAGTCTGACTAAAACCAGATCCTTCTATTCACTTCTTAAGTGAAACAGTAGGGGCTGGCTTTAGTCAGACTGCCTTTGTATCAGCTTAAACTTAGATGCAGTAAGTTTTGACATTTCTCAGTAAAATGTGTTTTTTTTTCAATTTTCAGACACAAATAAGGAATTTTAACGCAGTTATAACGTGTTGCCATATTCGAAAATACGTTCATTTAAAGCTAATTACCATATATTCTAAATAAATAATTCGCCCTGAGTGGCGCTGTGGTTAGAGTGTTGTCTCATAGTCAAGGAGTAAGGAGTTTATCTGTCTTCCCAGGTTTGAATCAAACTAAGGAGCAAGGTGAACGGTCTCCCGGAAGAAACCGTGTTGCAGCAGTTGGTGGCATAAAAAAGCCCCATCATGCTAAAGGCCCTAAGAGCAGATTACAGATTTTAATTTTCAACCACCCCTGACAAGTGGTCGCGTCTCAATATGAGAGGAAAATTCTCAGAGGGACGTCAAACAACATCAACATACAAAATACAGAGCAATATTCATTATTGATTTACTGAAACAGCTATTTTATGTCAATTTTGACAGTCAGAAAAGCTACTTATATTTTTTTAAAATCAAATTAAACATAAATTTACATCATACCTCGTTTCTGTTTCTGTGATTACAACTTATTTACTTTGAATAAGTATTCCATTACAAGCGTTTATTTCTCGTAATATACCAGAGTAGGAAAAGGGAATAATTTATTACGGATATCACTAATTTTTGTCCAGCTAACCTAAGAGTACTTGATTTTGTAGACTAGCATTTATAAATCTGGTTTCTTAACAGTCTTATCAACTACTGGTATGTAAGGATTTTATTTAAAATGAGTTACTCTAATTGTTAACAGACGAACCGTAGTTGGACATTTAAAATAGATATTGATTCCGCAGTAAGAAACAACGTCTTCGACCAGAAACCTCGATTGACAGTTATTTGTTACCCGGAAGTTAAATACCGTTTACTGTGTTATATATAAATTGAAGACTTAAATCAAACAGGTAAGTACAATGTAGTAATTCTTTGATTTGTATCATTCCTTGATTTAGGTCAATGTTAAATAGAATTGTTCTTTTCCTGCATATATGTACCACTCTAAAACGTCCGGCATTTATTTTTAATATCGAACTTATTTACTTCATAAGATCTTTTGTTTATTAAATTTTTTGCTGTGTTCTTTCACTTAATTTTTTTTATAATGGTACATTAACAGATCAGAATTCTCTTAGACTGAATGAATTTAAACGTAGTTGATTATTTTTGCAAACCATTACTAGTATGTAGTTTTCGCTCAAGTTCAATACTTCTTTTCAAGATCATTATTACAATTACTTTATATCCAAGTCACTTTAAATAATCTTTGTTTACTACTGCATAAAACTCGCGTGATAGATGATCTAGATAGGGTTTATTGAAGACACAAAATGCGGTTATTTAAAAAAAATCAATAGACTTAAATTTCATTCTAGCCAGACAAACACGCTGCAGGTTTACTTGAGTGTACATGTATACTAGATGCACCTTTGTAGCCATTGTAAAGGTGAAAAATCACAATTCTGAATTGCAGTCTCTTGACATTTCTAATATTAGCTGAAATACCGTAAATTGCTAAAAATGCTTACGAATAAACGTAAATAACGTGCATATCGCGATTGTTTGAAATGAAAATGGTATGAAACGACTGATTGTTTTTCTCAAACAAATTTAGTTTTAACCGCCATTAGAGAATAAAGAAGTTAAGAGAGATACAATGAAAATGCAAATCAAAGTTTTTTCTTTTACTTTAAAATTTTCAATTAAGTTGGAAAAGTTGAAAACCCTGCCATTTGCCTATGAGAAGCAATGAAAGTTATTATCCCTCATGTGATAAAACGGCAAACTATACATTTTTTCAGCAGACGACACACGATGATGGAGGATGGGATCAGGATGTAGTTCTGAAGAGGTCCCGGGGGATACCAAGAAGGAACCAATCAAAATTCGCACTGACAAGAGTACCCACTCAGCAAATACTAAAACAGGTGAACTATAATGTTAAATTATTTTAAGTAAACTGACTTATGAAAAATGCAGTTCCATTAAAGAATATTAGTCTGGACTGTTTCCTGTCATATTCAGTACATGCAATCAATTAAAGATCTCTAAACGTTTAAAAATCGAATTCAAAAAAATCCTGAATGAAGATATTTCTTACCAGGCCATTCATCCAATTCACCTTCTTCAACCATGTCTGGAAAGAGGAGAACAGTGAGAACAAAGTCCATTGTAGAAGGAGAGGCATATGACATGCTGTTAGCGAATCATCCTGAACTGAAACCTACTCTAAGAGACTTCGATCAAGTCATGGTCAAGGTACATAATTTGGTGACCTGTAGCTTTTATGATATTATAAAGCATGTAGAATATAATTGAAAGTTGGTTCAATGATGGCTAGAAGCATTTTTATATGGTACAATTGCTAGCTATCGTCAAATAAGTTAATGAAAATTGATATGACATGGCAATTTTTGACAAACAAATAGGTCGTTATTTTGAAACTGGAATGTCTACAAATTTGTGACTGGTCGACAGCGATAGCTTTGCTTACTCCTCCGTGGCACTTGCTCCATCTTTGATGTTTTTAGAGGTCAATGTTTGCTCAGAATATATTTTTTACACTTCTTCAAAAATATTTGAAGTTGCAACAAATGATCTCAATAAAGGCTAACTTGACAGTACTGTTATGTACTTTGCTTGTGCCTCGGAATCGGACCAAATAATGATGCTGTCAGATTGCCTGTAAAAAGATTTTTTAAATACACTTTCATTGTCATATAGGCTTTCTAATATAATACAAATAACAAATCTATAATCAAATTAACTTCTTGTATACAGCTTCAAAACATGAACAAAATTACCGAAGAGATGTATCCACAAATATATGAACTACTTGATAAAAAAATAGATAAATGCATTTCAAGATAACCAACAGCTGGAGCAGAGACTGGCGATGGGAAATTACTTGGCCAAAAAGGGGTAAGGTGTGCGTATATAAGTTTCTAAGCTTAATGTAGTATTAATTTTAATGTGAGGGATTCAATATTTTCAATCTAAGAAACAAAATTTAACTGGATCTTGGAGGAATCCCGCCAAGTCCACGAACAATTACCACAAAAAACAATAATGACTCATCAGTATGTGTGATACTAGAAAGAGTTAAATATGCTTTTTCAACTCTGTTTTTTAAAATACAGTTCTTCCTGATCCGTGTGTTACCCGTCGCATGCACGACTTTTTGAAGTATCGTTCAACCAAACGCTCGGCTATCTCCGTAAATCTCCGACCAGTAGAAATTTATGGAGACAGCCGAGTGTCTTGTTGAACGAGACTATACTTTTTTGAAGACATTTAAGATAATGAATATCCTTATTCACTAAAATATAGTATAATAAAATGTATAATAATAAAATGCAACTAAACATTTATTCCCTCCAGATTTGTCCCTCATCTAGTGGATGTATACCAGGCTGTCTGGTCTAATCATGACCTCGATTATTTTGACGATGACTTAGAAGAGGAGCATTCCGAATCAGAGTTCTTCAAACTTTTAACACTTATCAGGACAATCTTATGGAATTATGCTGACGGGAGTTCCAAATTTGCCGAAGCCATTGTAAATGACACACAGTTTTTTCAATATCTGACGGAAGATCTATTAGCTGTGAAGGATGATCTGGAAGAACTAGAAGACAATTACAGTAAGAACTTTGAATTATGTTCCAGGTGTTAAATGTCGGAGGTCCTTAAAGGGACATATTTTTGCTGATTTCATTCATAGTTGTTGGTCTTCGTATACATTTGGACATTTAAGACCTTTAGATCTCCCAATAAACGTTTCAGAATGAAAACCACTTTCCATTTAACTCCACTCTTGGAATACTCAACAACTGTGCTCGAAATGCTTCTACAAAAGATGTTTACAGTATCAAGCGCTTGTCCAGGAAGGATGAAAAAGAGTCAAGGGATATTAATATGGTTGAAATTCTAGAAGAACTGTTAAAAACAGACATAACATGTAAGTAATATAATAAACTGAAATGAAAAGAGAAACGCAAAGTAGCATAA